AGCTCAAGCCCACCAGATTATTCACACCATGCCTTATGCCACCGACACTTCGGCTTTGACATGTGTGACGTCCTCACTGTCCTGGCTTTCAGAAATAAATATCCAGTGGAACATCCGAGCATCCATATAAAAATCACATTGATCAACAGTAACTCCGTGTGAACCCGAATGGGCGCAAGGATACGAAATCAGACAATAAAAAGTAACAATGAATGCACACACAATGGTCAACCATACAAAACGGGTGTTCGTCATGCACTTTTCTCAAATCAACTATTAGACCGCAGAATTGTCCTCGACTCTTGAAGCTCTCGAACCTATTCGTTAAAAATAATTAAGAAGGCTACTTCAAATACTAATCACTTACAACAGTGTTCATGCATAACCGTATATTGGCATCTTTCATATACTTGTAAACATGGATCCATCAGTCTCTATCTCTTTATGTACATAAGAGGCTGAAATAATTTCCAACCTACAGATGCCTAATTCTATTCGTATAGGCAGTTGGGCAGATTGATGCTTATCTAACAAGGACAATTATTCGGACCATTCGGGTTGATGTTTGTGCCATGGATATTGCGGATGTCCTTGTTGGACAAGCATCAATCTGCCAAACTGCCTATAAGAATAGAATTAGGCAGCTGTAGGTTGGAAATTCTTTTGGCATGTTATGTACATAAACTGGACTCTGAGAAAAGGACTGATGGATCCATGTTTACAAATATATGAAAGATGCCAGTACATGGTTAGGCATACACACTATGTTAAGTGATTAGTATTTGAATTAGCCTTCTAAATCATTTTTTACAAATGGGTTTGAGAGTTTCAAGAGTCGAGACAATTCTACGGTCTAATAGTTGAGTCGAGCAAGTGTGTGACGAACCCCTGTTTTGTAGGGTTGATCATCGTGTGTGCATTCGTTGTTATTTGTTATTGTCTGATTTCGTATCCTTGTGCACATTCGGGTTCACTCGAAGTTACGGTTGATCAACGTGATTTTTATATCGATGCTCGGATGTTCCACAGGATATTTATTTCTGAAAGCCAGGACGGTGAGGACGTCACACATGTCTAATACAAAGTGTCTGTGGTTTAAGGCATGGTGTGATTAAACTGGTGCGCTTGAGCTAGGTCGTTGTGGACGCGACACTTGTTCAATCCAAAAGTGTAGGTGGTATAAAGCATTGTGTGGATATTCCGAAATGCTCAATACAAGAGAAAGTTCTTACAAATGCATGGTTTCTGTGCGTTGCAAACGGGAGAGTAAACATTTTTTAGCTGAGCAACTATTTTCATTTCAATTCAATTTTGATTCTGACTCGTCATATTGATAACGTGCACCTACGACCACAAACATGCAACATCTGGGTGGTGCCATTCAACACTGAGGAGGCCAGATCTATAAATTATGTGTCACCATCACATGCAGCAGATGGAACACAAACTAATATCATACTTATCGGTTCCAATATTAAGTATTATGACTATCACAATTATTGTTTGGATATTTTCAAAATAAACATTCATTCACTTCCGATGTTCATGAATATTGTAAGTGTATGTACATCCTGTTAAAAAATTGTTTGTGTATTCACTAAAAAACAAATGTTCAGTCCATTGGTAAGTTCCCGCGTGGTTTTCACCAAGAAAAATTACATATGTAGGTTGTTAGATCATGGTATATGTACAAAGGGAGAACTCGGTGCAAATACAACAAGCCGATGGATTATACTGGACTCACTATAATCATTTACCTAGCTCACTCCTTGCCAAACTGGACTCTGAGAAAAGGACTGATGGATCCATGTTTATAAGTATATGAAAGATGCCAGTACATGGTTAGGCGTACACACTATGTTAAGTGATTAGTATTTGAATTAGCCTTCTAAATCATTTTTTACAAATGGGTTTGAGAGTTTCAAGAATCGAGAAAATTCTATGGTCTAATAGTTGAGTCGAGGCAAGTGCGTGACGAACCCCTGTTTTGTAGGGTCGACCATTGTGTGTGCATTCATTGTTATTTGTTATTGTATGATTTTGTATCCTTGTGCCCATCCGGGTTCACTCGGAGTTACGGATGATCAATGTGATTTTTATATCGATGCTCGGATGTTCCACGGGATATTTATTTCTGAACGCCAGGACGGTGAGGACGTCACACATGTCTAATACGAAGTGTCTGTGGTTTAAGGCATGGTGTGAATAGTCCGGTGGGCTTGAGCTAGGTCGTTGTGGACGCGGCACTTGTTCAATCCAAAAGTGTAGGTGGTATAAAGCATTATGTGGATATTCTGGAATGCTCAATACAAGAGAAAGTTCTTACAAATGCATGGTTCTCTGCGTTGCAAACGGGAGAGTAAACATTTTTTAGCTGAGCAACTATTTTCATTTCAATTCAATTTTGATTCTGACTCGTCATATTGATACCGTGCACCTACGACCACAAACATGCAACATCTGGGTGGTGCCATTCAACACTGAGGAGGCCAGATCTATAAATTATGTGTCACCGTCACATGCAGCAGATGGAACACAAATTAATATCATACTTATCGGTTCCAATATTAACATTTATGACTATCACAAGAGTTGTTTGGATATTTTCAAAATAAACATTCATTCAGTTCTGATGTTCATGAATATTGTAAGTGTATGCTCATCCTGTTAAATAATTGTTTGTGTATTCACTAAAAAACAAATGTTAAGTCCATTAGTAAGTACGCGCGTGGATTACACCAAGAAAAATTACATACATTGTGAGAACCTGGTGCAAATGCAACAAGCCGATGGATTATACTAGACTCACTATAATCATTTACCTAGCTCACTCCTTGCCAAACATCACATAACATTGTGTGCCGCGTGTTAACTTGTAATACGGATCCGCGTCCAAAATGAAGACTAATTGTGCTGTATTGACTAAGGTTGCACCATAAATAGCATTAAAAATATTAGACATGTAAAATAACATCATATTCAGATTCTACACATTTTTCTAATCAAATTCCACATATAACATGTTAAAATTGGAGTTACGGTTTAAAAGATATGGACATTTACATTTATGCCCCTAACTCGAATCCACTACTCAGTTTTGCCCCTAATTTCGATGTATACTCAAATTTGCCCCTCTGTCGTTAGTTCCCTTATTGAAATGCCCTTTTGTGTCGTTTCCATCTGACCAAATCTTGTTGAGCGTCTACTATACGTTTTATGGACATCATTGCCCCTGCGTCCTTATGTCATTCACATGCGGGACCAACTCTGGAAAATCAATGGAAAGAACTCTTTCTCTCACCCCCTCTCTCACTCACTTACTTGTGGGCCAAACTAGAAAAAGGAAAAAAAGACTCTCTTTCACCCCTCTCGCACACACTTACAAGTGGGCCAAACCAAAATTATAAAAGTAAAAATAAAACCTTCTCTCTCAGACCCTCTCTCTCCATGACATGTGGGCCATGGGCCCACAGTCAAGGTCAACACCTGTCCACACCTGGAACATAAGCCCGATATTGAGTTCATCTGCTCGCCGGTAGCTCACAGTGGGCTCACCGTAGGTGGCCGAATGACCGCAGTCGGAGGGCACGAGGTGCGGGGTAGCTAGACGACGCGCGCCAGTGTGACTGGCGCGACAGACGTAGGCGGGCCGCCGCACAACCGATTCTGTCGAGCTTGATCAAGGCGGCGGCTTCGAGCAGGGGGGTCCAGGCACGAAATCGTGTAGGGAAAGAGGGAAGTAGGCTCGCATGGTCATTTCAAAGACGACATGGTGGTCGGGGTGTTGTACGGTTGCTCGGAGAGGCTGAATTTAGGAGATGAAGACCGGTGGTTGTGGCGGCAATCGGGGTCCCAGGTATCGTCTAGGGGACGCTCCCTCCCGAATTAACCCTATAGTTAAGAATAGAGGAAGATTGCGAGGAAGAGAGAAGGGGAGAGGGGGAGATTTAGAGACAGAAATTGAAGAGAGGTAGGAGCAGGTCGGAGTCGCAGGCACCTCACCCCGGCGAGCCCCATCGTCGACCATGAGAGAGAGACAGAGAGGAAGAAGATAATCATGACAAGCCAGAGAGGAAGAAGATTATTACTTTATTACTCCCTCCTTCTCAAAACAACTGTTTCAACATTAGTATAATTTTGCACTAAAGTTAATACAAAGTTGAGACATTTATTTTGAAACGGAGGGAGTAGTAGTTATAGATATTAGGTATAGAATAGAAGATAGATAGACTAGTGGAGCGTTGGTCCCTGAGCGTGGACGATGAGGTGTGTTAATTTCATCCAGACGTGTGCAAGTGGGATAGGTCCAGCAATCCTAGAAAGAGCGTCACGGGGGAAGAGGGCTCCACGCTTGGTCATGTCGACCAAGAAAGTACACCATTTCAATCGAAAAATAAAAGACAGTACACGGCACGCCTATATAAGCATGCCCATACCGAGGCATTCTAATAGTCAAGACCAGGAAAGCTATACCAACACCGAGACCTTAAGCTCCAAGACCATGGCCCGCATTGCGGCGTTCTTGCTGGTGGCCCTGCTCTCCTTAGCCGGGCATCTCGCAGTCCGCGCCATGCCGATCATGCCCGCCCACAAAGCCTTCCCAGCCTGCATCGTGTAAGCACAAGTCCTCACCATCGTCCATACCCTGCCCTCCACCTTCACAAACTCCCATGCCCTCAACCACACCAACACTCACCCCGGTGACTCTGACGCCGGCACCGACCCCGACTGTCTTCATCCCTCCACCTACAAACACTCCGGCACCCATGCCCATACCGGCCTCTGTAACTCCAACATCGGCACCGACCCCTATGATGCCTCCAATACCAACCCCTATAACTCCAACGCCGGTACCAGCTCCTCTCTCTCCAACACCAACACCGGTGGCCCCAACACCTACAACCGTGATGCCGCCGACACAGATGCCTATGGCACCAACGCCGGCACCGACCCCTGTATCTCCAACGCCAAACCCGGTGGCCCCAAGACCTATCCCTGTGATGCCGCCAACACCGACGCCGGCATCGACCCCTATCTCTCCAACGCCAAGTCCGGTGGCGCCAACACCGACCCGTGTGGTTCCGACGCCAGCACCCACCCCTGTCTCTCCGTCGCCAACCCTGGTGACCCCAACACCGGCCCCTGTGATGCCGCCAACACCAACATCGGTGACTCCGATGCCAGCACCGACCCCCGTTTCTCCAACGCCAACTCCGGTGGCCCCAACACCGACTCCTATGATACCGCCATCACCAACCCTTGTGACTCCGATGCCAGCACCAACCCCTGTCTCTCCAACGCCAATCCCGGTGGCCCCAACACCGACCCTCGTGATGCCGCCAGCACCCACCCCTGTGACTCCGACGCCACCCCCAGCCCCGGCCCCAGCGCCGGCTACATCGACCGGCAAGTGCCCCGTGGACACACTGAAGCTACTTGCATGCGTGGACGTGCTCAATGGGCTGTTGCACGCGGTGATCGGCAGTAGCGCCAGGAATACATGCTGCCCGCTGCTGTCCGGCGTTGCCGACCTCGACGCTGCTCTCTGCCTTTGCACCACCATCAAGGTCAAGGCCCTCAACATCAACCTCATGCTGCCCATCGCCATCGAGGTGCTCGTCAACCAGTGCGGCAAGAGAGTGCCGAAAGACTTTCGCTGCCCTAATTAAGCTCCATAGATTACTATATGTACTATCAGTATCACCTGCATATGAATGTGATACATGCATTAAATTCTCTTGTGTGGTCACACAGGTGACATATCGAAGTGTAATTATCTATATGTACATGGATTTGCAGCTCTGACTCGCTACTTGTGACGGGGAGCTGTGGAGCATGCGTACATTGTGTTTGTGTAACAGCGTATCCTATAGTAACCGTATAACATGCTACCAATTGTGGTCTTCCATCGGTTTTGTAGTGTGTGTTTTCTTTTTGAAGAACTATGAATAAAATGTTCGTACTGTGTAAAAGAAGTTTTCACATCCACTTGTAACCCATACCAAGATACATGTTGAACCATACGCTTTACAGGATTCGGATTTTCGTGTTGAACATTTTGATATATTATACATTTTTTTCCGACATCGTATGCAAAAGTTATAGCCCTTTTACTTTTTCATAACACATTTTTGCAAAACATGTACAAATTTAAGTTATTAAATTTTCCTAACTAGTAGATTTACTAATATAACTACATCTCAAAGTATTTTATTTTTTGAAGTTTTTATCATTTTCTGTTGTTTTTTCAAATCTGAAATGGCGATAAGGGGGGGGGGGTAGAGTTTGAGACACGAACCCCTTTAGTCCCAGTATGAGACACGAACCGGGACTAAAGGGTGTGATGCCCTTTAGTCCCGGTTCGTGTCTCAAACCGGGACTAAAGGTCTCATTTGAACCGGGACTAATGCCTTTAGCCGCTCATTAGTCCCGGTTCGTAGTGCAACCGGGACTAATGTGTATATTGGGCTGTGACCAAAGCCCTGTTTTCTACCAGTGTCCTTTAGTACCAGAAATCCATATGTATGCAAGAGTGAGTACAAAAATACTCAGCAAGCACAATATAGAACATCAGTAAACGAGGAACTCCATGATTTCAGATGGGAACACAAAAATATATCTGAAAGCACAATCTTAGAAAGGCTATAACCATCCCAACAAGAAACCATGCATTTGTAAGAACTTTCTCTTGTAGTGAGCATTCTGGAATGTCCACACAATGCTTTATACCATCGACACTTTCAGATTCAACACGTGTGGCGTCCTCGCTGACCTAGCTCAAGCCCACCAGATTATTCACACCATGCCTTATGCCACCGACACTTCGGCTTTGACATGTGTGACGTCCTCACCGTCCTGGCTTTCAGAAATAAATATCCAGTGGAACATCCGAGCATCCATATAAAAATCACATTGATCAACAGTAACTCCGCGTGAACCCGAATGGGCGCAAGGATACGAAATCAGACAATAAAAAGTAACAATGAATGCACACACAATGGTCAGCCATACAAAATGGGTGTTCTTCATGCACTTTTCTCAAATCAACTATTAGACCGCAGAATTGTTCTCGACTCTTGAAGCTCTCGAACCTATTCGTCAAAAATAATTAAGAAGGCTACTTCAAATACTAATCACTTACAACAGTGTTCATGCCTAACCGTATATTGGCATCTTTCATATACTTGTAAACATGGATCCATCAGTCTCTATCTCTTTATGTACATAAGAGGCTGAAATAATTTCCAACCTACAGATGCCTAATTCTATTCGTATGGGCAGTTGTGCAGATTGATGCTTATCTAACAAGGACAATTATTCGGACCATTCGGGTTGATGTTTGTGCCATGGATATTGCGGATGTCCTTGTTGGACAAGCATCAATCTGCCAAACTGCCTATAAGAATAGAATTAGGCAGCTGTAGGTTGGAAATTCTTTTGGCATGTTATGTACATAAACTGGACTCTGAGAAAAGGACTGATGGATCCATGTTTACAAGTATATGAAAGATGCCAGTACATGGTTAGGCATACACACTATGTTAAGTGATTAGTATTTGAATTAGCCTTCTAAATCATTTTTTACAAATGGGTTTGAGAGTTTCAAGAGTCGAGACAATTCTACGGTCTAATAGTTGAGTCGAGCAAGTGTGTGACGAACCCCTGTTTTGTAGGGTTGATCATCGTGTGTGCATTCGTTGTTATTTGTTATTGTCTGATTTCGTATCCTTGTGCACATTCGGGTTCACTCGAAGTTACGGTTGATCAACGTGATTTTTATATCGATGCTCGGATGTTCCACAGGATATTTATTTCTGAAAGCCAGGACGGTGAGGACGTCACACATGTCTAATACAAAGTGTCTGTGGTTTAAGGCATGGTGTGATTAAACTGGTGCGCTTGAGCTAGGTCGTTGTGGACGCGACACTTGTTCAATCCAAAAGTGTAGGTGGTATAAAGCATTGTGTGGATATTCCGAAATTCTCAATACAAGAGAAAGTTCTTACAAATGCATGGTTTCTGTGCGTTGCAAACGGGAGAGTAAACATTTTTTAGCTGAGCAACTATTTTCATTTCAATTCAATTTTGATTCTGACTCGTCATATTGATAACGTGCACCTACGACCACAAACATGCAACATCTGGGTGGTGCCATTCAACACTGAGGAGGCCAGATCTATAAATTATGTGTCACCATCACATGCAGCAGATGGAACACAAATTAATATCATACTTATCGGTTCCAATATTAAGTATTATGACTATCACAATTATTGTTTGGATATTTTCAAAATAAACATTCATTCACTTCCGATGTTCATGAATATTGTAAGTGTATGTACATCCTGTTAAAAAATTGTTTGTGTATTCACTAAAAAACAAATGTTCAGTCCATTGGTAAGTACCCGCGTGGTTTTCACCAAGAAAAATTACATACGTAGGTTGTTAGATCATGGTATATGTACAAAGGGAGAACTCGGTGCAAATACAACAAGCCGATGGATTATACTAGACTCACTATAATCATTTACCTAGCTCACTCCTTGCCAAACATCACATAACATTGTGTGCCGCGTGTTAACTTGTAATATGGATCCGCGTCCAAAATGAAGACGAATTATGCTTTATTGATTAGGTTCCAATATAAATAGCATTTAAAAATATTTGACATTTAAAATAACATCATATTCAGATTCTACACATCTTTCTAATCAAATTCCACATATAACATGTTAAAATTGAAGTTGCGGTTTAAAAGATATGGACATTTACATTTGTGCCCCTAACTCGAATCCACTACTCAGATTTGCCCCTAATTTCGATGCATACTCAAATTTGCCCCTCTGTCGTTAGTTCCCCTTGTAGAAATGCCCTTTTGTGTGGTTTTCGCCTTACCAAAGCTCGTTGAGCGTCTACTAGACGTTTTATGGACATCATTGCCCTGCCTCCTTATGTCATTGACATGCGGGACCCACTCTGAAAAATCAAATGACAAAAGTCTTTATCTCACCCCCTCTCTCACTCACTTACTTGTGGGGCCAAACTAGAAAAAGGAAAAAAGACTCTCTCTCACCCCTCTTGCACACACTTACAAGTGGGCCAAACCAAAACTATAAAACTACAAATAAAACCTTCTCTCTCAGACCCTCTCTCTCCCTGACATGTGTGAATAATCATGGTTTAAGGCATGGTGTGAATAATCCGGTGGGCTTGAGCTAGGTCGTTGTGGACGCGACACTTGTTCAATCCAAAAGTGTAGGTGGTATAAAGCATTGTGTGGATATTCTGGAATGCTCAATATAAGAGAAAGTTCTTACAAATGCATGGTTTCTGTGCGTTGCAAACAGGAGAGTAAACATTTTTTAGCTGAGCAACTATTTTCATTTCAATTCAATTTTGATTCTGACTCGTCATATTGATACCGTGCACCTACGACCACAAACATGCGACATCTGGGTGGTGCCATTCAACACTGGGGAGGCCAGATCTATAAATTATGTGTCACCGTCACATGCAGCAGATGGAACACAAATTAATATCATAGTTATCGGTTCCAATATTAACGTTTATGACTATCACAAGAGTTGTTTGGATATTTTCAAAATAAACATTCATTCAGTTCTGATGTTTACGAATATTGTAAGTGTATGCACATCCTGTCAAAAAATTGTTTGTGTATTCACTAAAAATCAAATGTTAAGTCCATTAGTAAGTACGCGCGTGGATTACACCAAAAAAATTACATACATTGTGAGAACCTGGTGCAAATACAACAAGCCGATGGATTATACTAGACTCACTATAATCATTTACCTAGCTCACTCCTTGCCATACATCACATGACATTGTGTGCCGCGTGTTAACTTGTAATACGGATCCGCGTCCAAAAATGAAGACTAATTGTGCTGTATTGATTAAGGTTGCACCATAAATGGCATTAAAAATATTAGACATGTAAAATAACATCATATTCAGATTCTACACATTTTTCTAATCAAATTCCACATATAACATGTTAAAATTGGAGTTACGGTTTAAAAGATATGGACATTTACATTTATGCCCCTAACTCGAATCCACTACTCAGATTTGCCCCTAATTTCGATGCATACTCAAATTTGCCCCTCTGTCGTTAGTTCCCTTATTGAAATGCCCTTTTGTGTCGTTTCCGTCTGACCAAAGCTCGTTGAGCGTCTACTATACGTTTTATGGACATCATTGCCCCTGCGTCCTTATGTCATTCACATGCGGGACCAACTCTGGAAAATCAATGGAAAAAACTCTTTCTCTCACCCCCTCTCTCACTCACTTACTTGTGGGCCAAACTAGAAAAAGGAAAAAAAGACTCTCTTTCACCCCTCTCGCACACACTTACAAGTGGGCCAAACCAAAATTATAAAAGTAAAAATAAAACCTTCTCTCTCAGACCCTCTCTCTCCATGACATGTGGGCCATGGGCCCACAGTCAAGGTCAACACCTGTCCACACCTGGAACATAAGCCCGATATTGAGTTCATCTGCTCGCCGGTAGCTCACAGTGGGCTCACCGTAGGTGGCCGAATGACCGCAGTCGGAGGGCACGAGGTGCGGGGTAGCTAGACGACGCGCGCCAGTGTGACTGGTGCGACAGACGTAGGCGGGCCGCCGCACAACCGATTCTGTCGAGCTT